AACGGAACGCGCCGAATACAGGTGCATTCCACTCACCAGTAGCTGTAAAATTGATGTGTCAGTCCTTGTGACACCACGAAAAAAATTGGACACATCAATACTCTCGTTAACGTTCATGTAGTGCGATGCAGCCGTCCGAAGATCGGCATCCGAACACTGTCACGTTCCTTGCGAACACTGACATTTCTGGCCAACGGTGTGATTTGAAGCCCTCAGATCAGGATGTGATCGGTCGAGCGGTCATTGTGTCGTTTTGCTATTACTCATTTCGGCAATTAGAAAATGTTGCGTTCGTCGACGAGCTCGAGGCGTTAGCGTGAGCTTATGCATACTATCAATTTGCACGGTTTTCATGGCACTTTTGGGCCGCTATGTCTGTACATTTATGCGTCGCTAGTGTAAATATAACATATATTTGTAGTCCTGTCCTTACAGCCTTTAAATACTTGAATAAACAAATGTATCACTTCAAAATTCGCGCTCCAGGCCATGGGAGAGCTGCGAGAGGCAGCGAGAGGTTCGGGGAGTTACAGGAGGCAGTGGGGAACGCTCAACCCTCGACTGCTGGGACGGAAGATGTTTCATACGAAATTTCGAGTCCCGGGGCTGCTGCGGATTTTTCGTTGATTGTCACATCGGCCCATCTCGCATCAGTCATGAGGCCATTTGCTGAAATTCTCTGCTGCTGGGTGACTTTCCTTTTTCCTATCGTGTGCGTTCAGTACTTAGCGAAGTTTTGACGTTTACTGAGTCCCCCTACTGAGTACTAGAGTAACTGCAGGTAGCTGCCCATCAATATTCAATCGTCGTCGATCGGACCTTATGATAGTATCGGACCCATGATCATCTACTCCTCACTTGGCACGCAGTTTTCGCTCCTCCCGCTCAACACTGGCTTCTCTCCAGCGGCTGCCTTTGTACAACACCAGCAGAATCATGCACTGAACGACGACCATCAGACCTGCCCAGAGAGTATACAGGCCACCGTCGCCAATTGTGTCCTAAACCAACTTCAGTTCTGGCTTTCTGCGAACTGCTATAACCTTGACTCACTTGTAAAGGAACAGCAATCTCGGCGGCGACAAAAGCAAACAGACCACGAACAAAACTATTCGTTGCTACTGCCATTGATGAGCGACCAGTGTTTGCGTCGACAAGGTATGCCAGTATGTTTGTGTAGGTCCATCTATCGTGGATGAGAGCAAAATTCAATATAAAACAGAGTGAACGTACACGGATAGAAATCCAGCGAGGAACAGCATCACACACACAACGGCGATACTGACTCGTTCTTGGCACACCCAGGCGTATCCAATCACAGAAAGAGGCGACCATAACATGACGATTTTCGTGCTCTCGAGGCGCATCTGCATGAATTTGCATCAGCCACATGCTTAGCTAGGGTTAGTTTAATGTTCACCTCTGGAAAGCTGACCCCTCCATTTGCGGTCTTTAGCCGAGCAAGTGTCCGGTCGGACCAACGACCACCTAATATGCTGCCGGATACGCTGCCTGTGATATGTAGATGCATCAGGCAAGTGTTCCCAAATTGCTTATAATTCACTCACCAACACCATAGGCAAGCAAAACAAGGCCAGTCTTCAATGCATCATAATCATAATACATCGACAATGTTCTTGCGCATGTATACGCAATACTGAAGCTAAACCCAAGTATTAAGCCTGGCGCAAGAGGGCGTAAAAATATATTTCAGCAAGAAATGAAGGCACGCACCCGATGTTATCATGATAACAAGGTTGTTCTTGCGGCTGAAAATCGAGAGGCACGCAGGGAAAGGGTTGATATCAGCCATGGATAGGTTTACATCTTTAATGGCCGACGCTGGTACAGCCATTCTCTGTGCTTCGATATCTTTCGAAATCGTCTGGTTTTCTCCGCCCACTTCTGACTCCGAAATAATTGGTGACTTGTCCTTCACTTCCGACGATTGCAGCTCTTGGAGCCTCGACTTCAACACGTTCTGGTAAGTCACACTCCTCTCCTTCCTGAAGGTGTCCTTGAACAAGAAAAGGAATGCCAAAAAGATTATACCTCCCCAGATGGCCAAGAACCAGAAAATCGCCCGCCAGCTGAGGCCCTGTGTGAGTGCACCACCAAAGATTGGTCCTAACGAGGGACCGAGGAGAGGTGCAGAATAGTATACACCCATCATTGTACCTCGTTGATGCGGCTCGTATATATCGGCCAGAGTGGCAGTTCCGATAGCGAAAACTGCGCTTGACCTACTCCAAGTGAGCACGAATACGAGAGATCGAGAAATTGTCCTACCCTGCGCCTTGCACAATTCGCATGCCAATCACCAAACCAATAGTTCTTGACACGGCCACGATTGAAGATCCAATTATAAAAAGTGCAATGGATAGAAGGTACGCGAGCTGTGCTCAGCCAAATTAACAAACGATGCTCTGAAAACAGCTATAAATACAGACCTTGCGGCCCTTTATCTCGCTAATCGCACTCCAAATGATAGGAAAAGTGCCTTGAGCGAGAATAAACAGTGCCAAACTCAGGCTGATATCCCCACTGCTGGCGAGTAGCTGTTGCTCGATTTGAGCATTGGCAGCTGTTTCCTGACTGTTCAACCGATATTGGATACAATAGGATCACGGATGCAACCTACGGTTTTGTATGTTCGCAGCCAAACCCGCGAACATCGTGGCTCCAGATATAATGAACAATATAGTGGTCTGTAGTTGTATTCAGTCGACTCCCAATTACATACTAAGATAGAAGGGCTCGCCTTCTTCGTGTTTGACCATATTCGGGGATCATCCTTAACCATTGCATGCTCTATGTCAAGCTTGATGGGTTCATTTGACAGTATTGAACTGGGGGAGTGCGTCTGGGTATCAGTATGAAATTCCACATTCCGGACCCCTATAGGTGACAAGTTCGTACTCTGGCTTTCTGCCATGGGCGTAAAATATCCGATGCACGAGTTGAAGATTATGTGACATTGTATGATTTTATAGATGGTTCATGGATAACGCGAGCGCCGGGGGGCGAACATTGTTTTACCAGTGCCCATAATAAGAACATGCTGGATGGAAGGACTCCACTAACTATAGTGTGTCAGAAAATGTGGCTGATGGGGTGGCATGACTATAAAAGCTCAACGTTGTCTTCATTTCAGATGACCGCTGACCGAGGAAGGCCCCCCGAAGCCAAACAACCTGGTTAAGCGATCAAGATTTACATTTTGGATTGAAATCATCCAGAGCTTCTGTCTTACCACGGAATTTCGGATGCCCGGTGAGTGGGAGGTGAAGTCGATCTAATAATAAAAAGATATGACTATCCCATTATGTATCAAGTGATTATGCTCCAGTCTTCTAACTCCTATAAGATGTTCCGAGGGAAGGACTTTGAAGCGTCTTCAGTCCAAGAAAGTCCAAGTCAGTCACCCGACCTTCAAAGTATAAGTCCTGCAATCAATCGAGAGGAAATGAGAGTGTTAATGGTAGACACAGCCAGCTACGCCGAAATAAAAGTAGTATATAGTGCTTGCCACATGTCCCATATATCTCGGTCATTATTTTGTCGTCCGCTAACACGTTGGCTCGATGCGTCGATGAACGTTAACCGTGACGATGTTGCCAATGGTTGAAGCTTGAAGTTTGAAGGTGAGCTCAAATTTCAAATGCACTGTGGCTTACGTAAACCGGCAGTTGTGCCGAGGACGCAACGCAGTTTCACTTCGTCTCTTGTCGTCGTCGGCAATAGTGAGCACGGTCAATGGCATCACCGCCCAAGCCTTGGGAGCGGGGAACAGCGACAGCAACACCTATCGTCACCGCATCGTCGTCAACTCCGACCAGCTTATCTTCTTCAGAACTACCTTCGGTGCCTGCACGTCCCCCAGCTCTCTCCAATCCATCTACATCTACCCTCACACCCTTCAGTTCTTTGCAGCCATCATATAACACCCAATATTCGCCGTACTCTCGCCTTGGGTCTACGTACTCGCCTTATAGTTATGGCGGAATGGGCGGTGGTTATGGTACCGGGTACGGTGGATATGGCATGAATGGCATGTACGGCGCCATGCCAGGAATGCCCGGAATGGGTGGAATGGGCATGTACCCTGGTATGGATCCCAATAATCCTTCCTTTTCGCAGAGTCTCGAAGCCACGACCCAACACACCTTTTCCCTTCTCCACTCCATCGTCCAGACCTTCTCGGGCGTAGCACAAATGCTCGAGTCCACATTCATGGCGACGCACAGCTCATTTTTTGCAATGGTCGGCGTTGTCGAGCAGTTCAGCCATCTTCGCAATGCCTTGGGTAGTGTATTAGGCCTCTTCGGTCTTTTACGGTGGATGAAGGAGCTCATCACGGGCCGCCCTAGTTCCACAAGTATACAGAGTGAATTTAGAGAGTTCGTCAGCGGCAAGCCCGTTCAGGGCCCAATGGGCCCTCCTCCTAACAAGCCTAGCCGAAAACCCATTATCGTATTCTTGCTCGCTATTTTCGGTGTTCCGTACGCCATGACGAGGCTTGTAAAAATTCTCAATGAGCGTGCGATGCAACAGCAGCAAGCACTTGGTCCTAGTGGTCCACTAGGCCCCCTTGACCCGTCGACGCTTACTTTTGCACGCGCGCTATATCCATTCACACCTTCATCTCCATCTGAGCTTGCGCTCAAGGAGGATGAAATCGTCGCCATCATGGGAAAGTTGGATCCTAGCACCGGTGTGGAGGTAGATCCACGGTTAGAAGTGGAGAGCGAGTGGTGGAAAGGTCGGACGCGCGAGGGTCGCGAAGGCTGGTTCCCGAAAAAATGGGTCGAGGTTCTCGAGCGGAGGAAGCCCGCAGAAGAGGACAAGAAAGTCGTTTGAGTCGGATTCGCTTTTTGTCCTGTCTTCGCTATCTTACTTTTTTTTGATTTCGATCAACGCTTTTTGATTGACTGTGTTCCACATATACAAACCTGAAATGTACTCATAGTATACTACTTGAAAGATACGCAGTTTCGTGACCACAGTACTTGAAGGAACAGGAGTACTGAGAACTTCGGATCCGGAGAAAAGACAGAAGAAGTCGCCATAGTGGCCAAACACAACAGTCCAATCATCCATCCCATAGATGCCGCCGTTGACTAGATGATCGAAGTATCGTATCAAACAGATTCCTTGCTTGCAGTCTTTTGATGCATCTTCAATAGGAACTGCATGGATACGAACAAAATGCTTCCGCTAGCCGCGATGCTCTAGATAGCTTGTCAGCCAGAAAAGCAAAACGCCACTTCACACGATCCACTCACCCCAGCTAAGACAGCAGGCCTCCACCAGATGTAATGCGAGGTCAGGACAGCTCCACAGATCGGAGCACCTAAGCCGAAGGTAAGTGACGGCCGAGAAAAGCCAGCGGCACACATGCCAATGAGTGACCCAATGCCTGTGGACGCAGGTCAGGACGTGATTCATCAGATTCAAATCTACGGACTTACCAGACATCGCGAATGATATTCCAATTCGAGCACTTGAACGACTTGTCAGCGTGAACCAAAGCCATGCGTCAAGTAATTACCCAATATCTGAGTCTTCGGGGGTCAGATATGATATCAACGGGGAAATTAATGCTATGACTGAGTTGACACTCAGTGAGTGTTGGAGGTGTATGAAGAGCCTACGCACAACTTCCAGAAAAATAACCATAGCTAACACCTATCAGCGCCACGCTGGCCTCCGATCGCAAGCCAATCATTGAAAATATTACAGCAGATGATATGAATGAGCAGCCGATGACCGTATTCGGGATGCCTACATAGGCGGAGACAACACCAGCGGTAAGTCTTCCGGTCAAAGAACCAGTATTAAAGATTGTAAGCTGTCAAGCTAGTACTGAGTAATTCCTTGTCAACTGGCCTCAGAGACACGCACCGAATAAAATAAAAATCCTTTGCTTAGACCGTGCAGACGGGAGTCTAATTAGAGATAAAATAACACGAAAAATAGCCCGACTTCGAAAGCAGCCATCCTAGGGAGTGAAAACTGTCTGAAGGTCCATGCCATCAAGTGTTGACCCACTCACCCTAAACACGCACAAGCATAAGGACGATCACTCCACGAGTTTCGTAAAACACGAGTGTAGCTAATGGCCTGGGGTTGCAGTGGAAGTCTTGTGTGCATCAGAAGATATGCTATGAGAAGCAGACCGCTAGTCATGCCCGCACTAACACGGACACCATTTGCGAAGCCAAGTCTTCCATTGATAAGGTTGTTGAGTATAATTGGTTGCAATATTGCACCCGTCGACGGCCCTGTCATGACGAGTGCCATCACGAGAGCTCTGCGTCGCTGGAAGTGATGAGATACCACGGTGATTGAGGGAACATTCGTAAGGCCTATTCCAACCCCAGAACCGATACCTTGGGAAAGGAAGATCTAACATTATTGTCAATTGAGTGATGCAGTGACAGAAACCAGACTTGCTTGATAATACGCATTCGGTTTCGCTAGTGACAGCATAAAGAGGCAGAGACACTGGAGGAGACAACCGATTTTCATCACATGATAGCTGGATGCATGATGAGGGACACTTTTATGTGAACTGCCTGACTACATACAATACGCCCCGGTCAAGCAACCTTCCTGACACGAGGCCGACTGAGAATGTCAACAATGCATTAATACCTCCTATCCAGCTATAGCATTGCAAGTCAGAAACACTGGCAGTGAAGAAACGGGCCAAGTCTAAAGCTCACTGACGCAATCGCAGATGGTGTAGAATTTGTCAGATAAGTTTGAGTATAAAAGTCTGCGTGTCATGATGATCAGCTCGCTCTGTAAAATAATCTACCGGTCCCTACCCTGGAAGACGCCGTATGAACAGGTATATCTGGAACATGATGAGTGAAAATGGACCATAAATGCTGAATCAATTTACCCAACACCACAGAATTGTATCAAAAAACTTGACGATATTTCATGATGAGTATGCAGCGATACAGGCATTCAAAAACACTTGCGCTCCTATCGCTGTACTCCAAGTTGTTACGCCACCCTCAGGAAAATCTGACGAGTCCATGTGGTCAGCATGACTGGAATCGCCAGTGCTTTTGACGCATTGCAAAGCGCTTTTAGAAGCGTGTGCTGCAGTTTCATTCCTGGGGAGAGGTGTAGACATGGACGACAGAGATGAAGCAGGTGGGGGATGGTATGCATGCTCGGTACTGGTGCATCATGAAATATATGAGGCAGCCAGTGAAACCCTAAGGGGACCAGCGAACCCTTGGACCCGTACCCTCCAAACCCGTCAGCATCAAGAACCGCGGTGTTACCCGTAGAAATTGATTATCGTCGTCCCAGCTTCCGAGTGACCGTACAGACGCGTCAGGTATCATTGGGACCAGCTCTTTGAAGGAGGACAATGTGAATAGGGAGGAATAACCCGATCAGGCGCAACATTGTAACGGAGCCCCGCTTGCCACGAGGTTCACATGCGTCGACAATGCGGGGTAAGTCGCGTATCTGACTTCAAGGACGGACGACAGCCTACTGAGCTCATTTTTTGGTGTTCTAGAGATTGCCCATAGGCCGAGCCACACCCAGCGCCATACTAGCTAGCTCGGGACCGGGGATCGCTCGGTGCTACGATAAGTGAAAATGTTGGGTCACGCACAGTGGCTGATGTTACACGTGCTTCAAATTCAACTTTGATAACCAGACTCATCCGAGATAGGATCCACCCACTGTATTACTTCCATACCGCGATTGAAACGCATCATAGCACGAGCCCTTTCACGTATGCCCTCAACGTGTGTTAGAACACATTGTTAACGTACTAGGTGTAGCTCCATAGCTATGTATTGCATGCATGTCTGTTACCAACACCCGCGTCTCCCCCCTCGTTTCCCTCCCTCCCCTCGACTCGCTCACAGGACCAAACGACGATGCAAAGTGATAGACGACATATACAACATAAAACTTGACGACCATTATTCAAACAGAACAAACTACTACGATAAAAAGCAAGGCTTAACCAGTAAGCCGCGAAAACAAAACAAAAAAACAATATAGCAAAAAAAAAAACTATCAAACAAGTGACCACAGCATTAGGGTAAAAAAGTCCGTCTTCGCCTTCTTCCTGATGATGAAATTACAAATGTCTAGCTGAACCTGAGCTTTGGCCTAGGCGCGAAGCCCAATTCTCCATTTCCATCTTGGCCTTTGGCCATTGGGCCGCGAGCGTTGGACGCACGGGTCGTTTCTATCTTGGTCTCGATCGCGGGCGTTGATTTTTCTTTCCTTTCCCTTGCTCCCAGATGCTCGTGGTTGGGTCGTTGGTGGTCTTTTGTGAGAAGCGGCGGGGGTGCTTTTCACAGGAACATGAGCGTGTGCATGGGCATGGACGTTCTCTTGCGGGTCAGGAGCCTCGAAGCCAGCGATCTCGCCTCCACTGATGGCGTATTGCATCCAGAGAGCGCTCTCTATGCTTTCGCCTAAATCTTCGTCGCCGCTCTCTTCGGCTTCCATCGATGGCGTCCATAGCATATGTGGGGAGGATTCGTCTGTGGCTTGTGCGATGGGCTGACCCTTGGCGAGGTTGCTCCAGTAGGAAGATCCCCACCCATCGCTTTCTGCTTCACCGGTGGTATCTGGTATGGCAGACGCGGGTTGGATCTGGTCCCATTCCTCCTCCCCTCTTCTTCCTCTTCCTTCCTCCTCCTCCTCTTCCTCGCCGACATCTTGGACCATCGCAGATTTCGAAGAGGATTGGACACCGCGACGAGTCTCTGGCTGCGTCTCCAGCTGCGGCACCACCTTCTTCGCCTGCTTGCTAGACGACAACGCACCCTTGAGCCCAACACCCCAAGCCATCTCTTCTTCATCAAGCTCTTCCGTACGGTGACCTTTGTTTTCTTGGTCGCCCATGCACCACTCGGCGCGGTCCACGTCTGGTAGGGATCTTCCATGGGCTCTGCTGATATAATCGGGGCTTGGGCTTTGCCCTTCTTCCCCGACGCGGTCCTCGTTTGGAAAGGATCTTCCGTAGGTTCTGCGGATACAATCGGGCCCTGCCCTTTCTTCCCCGCTGCTACCGAACCCAACCGCTAGCGGAACCCCAGCTAGGAGTAGAGATCACAGGAGGAGCAGGCTCGACAACCACTCTTCGACGACCGCAGCCTTGCCCTTTTTAGCAGCCGGCGCAGGCGTAGTAGCACGTGCAGTCTTGGTGTTCCACGCAGAAAACAAGGGATCAGCATCTTCTTCATCCGGCTCCTCCTCGATCATGACAGACTTGGAAGACACCGAAGCCTTTGCACTCTTCGCACCCCAAACTGGAGGAGGCTCCGCGTCGGCATCGAGCTCTTGGGTGAAAGTGACTGTTTTGGGCTGTTGAGTGACGCCCGGCGTCTTCTTGCCCTTTTTGCCCTTTGCGGTGGGAGGTGCGGGT